TATTCTTATGAAACGGTTTAGCCTCCACTATTCTGAAAACACCGTGAAGCTTGATATTGGAGACACTATTGGCATGTAAAGCTATTGCACCTGATTACAACATTCATTTCATAATATGCGTGTCTTATCCTCAATCAGTAGCGTAGAAGCTTATCATTCATTGAACGTTGACTATACACGCCACTACACGTCTAAAATCACACAATTGTCAAACCAATCAATTTGAGTAAAATTGTTATTATTTTACTTATTAACTTATCGGCTTATTTTCTCAAAATTCTTTAGTAGATCGGATCAAGTGGGCTCAACAAGGAAGATACCACAAATCGTTGGCAACCTCGGACAGGAAGTATGAGAACGAAGTATACAGAAGGCTTTCTTTCAACACTGTACTACGCCAGGTATTTTCCAAAGAGTTACGACTTGTGTTGAATTCGTAGGTGTCACTTTTAACACCTCTTTTAGGATAGATATTATAGCATTATTTTCTGTTCCCAATCTTATGTACTCATAAATTTAACAATAACCTCGTAAGTTGTATCAAATACAATGCTTATTGTTATCGTGTTTAATTCTTATTTATTTTCATTTCCTTGTTTTGAACGATACTAATTGAGGTTATCAAGGGCGGTTTCAGGATTTCGTCTAGGGGGGGGAACGATATTTGGGGCTGGTAATTTTTCTACCTCAGTGGAACTTCTAGAATTTATCCTATTATTGCTCCTTAAATCCATTGTGTTCTATCTGATCAATGCCAACTTGAAAAAGTATGGAGAGTGCTCAGAAATCATCAGAAAGGCAATATTTTATTATATGAGAACAAAAGAATTACGTGGCATTTATAATTAACTAGTGTAATAATATTAAAGATTAAAACATAAAAAACTTCATTGCTCTGTTAACCAAAAAATACATTTTGAGGGACCCCGAGACATATCCCAGCCATACCATACAAAACAATGTATTTGATGGCGAAAACGAACATGAGACCGAAAAATTCACATTATCGTATGGACGCTAGACGAGACAAAGAAGGATATCTATAGACCATCTATAGATCGTGTCTTGAGACGGTCTCCAGACTGCCTTTAGACAAATTGCGCAACGGGGTCTACTAGTGTGTACTAAGCTTAAGGATTAATACTCAGAACTATCCATCAAGTAATTGGTGAAAACACTGACACGATCAAGCATTTCCATTATATCAGCAGGTGATAAAAAACAACAGGTGTAGTCAATTATTTTTTGAATTCAATATAGATGTTACAGTTATTCTTCAGACTTTCGTTGTCGAACTTTATTTACGGCATAGTTGTTGTTTTCTCAGTTTTCGAATCGGTGTTGATCAAATGTGATAATGTTGGAACTCTTTGGAAAAAACTATATATGTTAGATCGTAATTATTTTGATAATGTATGTTTGTACGAAACACATACAGAGCTGTATATATTCACGCGTAGTGCAGAAGCTCTGTGACTTAAACGAATTCCAATATAGCAACATAAATAGAAACATACGCGGGAAGAAATGCGGGACGTGTGGTATTGATTTTGAGCATCGATCGACGCATTTTCTGGACAGGCTACAGGCGCACCGCTAAGCAAATCTCATACATGTATCTTATCTAACATATAGTCTAATCATATAAGCAAATTTCCTCGAAATAATTGCAAAGTCCGGTTTTATTGGTGCAAGTTGTTCAAGGGCGATTTTAAACATGGACGCATAAAATGGTTACACCAATTTTTGTGGGAAAACTTTTCATTTGACAACAAACAATGAGAATACATGTTTTTTGGGATTCAATCGAAAGTGTTGACAGGAACGAACAAACTTTTTATGTAAGATTTTTAGGTATTTATGAGACCAAAGAATGAGACCACACGTGAAGATAGATCCGACTAATAGCAAAAATGTTATGGCCGAAAAATCAGGCAAAACGCAGGTTTTGGCACTTGTTGGTAATGCGACGATAATTTTACGCAACTACTTGAAATTCTTCAAATCCGCAGGATTCATACTTCTAAATAACAACAGCAACGTTGGAGCATAATGGTCAAGTAAATTTTTGAGAATTTCTAATTGCTTATCCCAAAACACCTGTTTTCAGGACACCACTAGTTTATTGAGCTACATACAGGATTAGTTCAAAGAGCATTTTACACCAAAATACACTAATTTGCGTTGCCGATAGGAATTACAAATCATTTTGTTATTTTTATGCGAAAAACAAAGGACACGTTTTTTTCTTCAAAGCAAATTCAAACATTTCGTATTTGTGAGTAATTGAGCAAATGCGCTACTATATTCGAAATACATACGTTACTATACATATTTTAAAACAAAGCGGATGTGTCTATCATCGTTTGTTGTGAGTTACTAACAAATACGAAATGTTTGAATTTGTTTAGAAAAAAAACGTAACCCATCCTTTTTTTGCATAAAAATTATATTTATTTTCCGGAATAGTTTTCGATTCATATCGGCAAGGTAAACTAGTGTATTTTGCTATAAAATGTCCTTTGAACTACCCATGTATATTGCTCAAAAAACTAGTAGTGATGGCTGGAAAACAGATTTTTTTGGGATAAACAATTAGAAATTCTCTCAAACTACTTGACCAATCTACTCCAATTTTGTTGTGGTTATTTAGAAGGTCCAATCGTATGAACTTGAAGAATTTCAAATATCTGCGAGAAACCGTCGTCGCATTACCAACACGTGCTAAGACCTGCAGTTTGCCTCGGTTTTCGGCGATAACTTTTTTGCTATTAGTCGGATCTTTTTATGTGTGGTCTCGTTTTGTAGGTCTCATAAATACTTAAAAATCTTGTGAGGAGAGTTTTTTCGTCACTACCAACTATTTAGATTGAATCCCAAAAAACACGTTTTCTCATTCTTTGTTGTCGAATAAAAAGCTTTCCCACAAAAATTGGTGTACCCATTTTATGCGTCCATATTTTGAATACCCCCTTGAGCAACTTGCAGCAATAAAACCAGAATTATTTCGCAAACCAGGGGTATTTTCGTCTAATATGATTAGACTAATAGTGCTTCGCTGCAACACCAACCCCGAACAAAATCAGTCAAGCTTTACACACTTTACACACTTTACACACTATTGAGCAATAAATAGAACATAAATTACTTTTTAAGTGCAATCTGAATAGCTAATATATTGCTTAGACTTAGATTTGTCACAAGTCACAGTACTCGTATATACGTATAAATCGTAAGAATTGTGCTGTAAACGTAAATGATGTCGAAGAGGGATAGCGTTTCGAATACCAAAGGATACCAAAAATCGCAATGCTCAGTTCCTATAGCTATAACTTATAGTTAGTATGCCTCTGTCGCCATGATGTGTCAGAAAGCGACACAATGGTGTTAGATTACAAAAGCAAGTATCAGACGTCTAGGGGGGGGCGCCCCCCGCGCCCCCCTTAATCCGCCACTGGAGGTTAGTGTAATAAGGTATCATAGCTTTCTTCACATGCCATATAGTGTTTCCAATATCAAGCTATACAGTGTTTTCAGAATAGGGGAGGCTAAGCCTTTTCATAAGAATATTTTAGGATTTTACCTTAAATATTCATACCTAAATATCGTTCACACAAGCGATCTGACGAAAATTCCTTAGGTAACCAAATGTATGGAAAATTGAGTGGTATTTCAAAGAATGTTCTTCTTTTCTCCAAAAGTTCCAGTTGTGTAGAAAGTAACCATGTATTTTTGGACACATATTTATAGGAACATTTTTTGTTATTTTTGGATTTTCTTTCTACACTAGAAATATTGGAACGTCATTTTGAAACACCCTGTGTGGCTTGAAGCTCATTAGTAGAAAATCTGAAGAAATGTCTTCAATTTTATTTTTCACATAATAAAAATCAGATCGCGATACAGTCCTCATAACTCTTTCCTGAAAAAATAATATCACAGCGAACTAAGTAATAAGATACCCTTTCAGAAGTGGAGAGTTCTGAATTGTTACCGGTCTGAGACGTAACTTTTCTAACCTTCCTAATTATACATAATATTGTTTTCAGTTTGGTAGACTCTTTTTTGGTAAACACGCAATATTTACATTGCTTATCTTCAGAGATTTACCAAATAAACTTGAAAAATGCCTTTCCTTATTCATTCGTTTGCAACGTAAATTAAAAAAAGATCTCTACACTTTCTCAAAAATCTCTGGGGATGCCGAATCAGAAAACTTTTACGAAAGTTTTTCTTACGATCCTCGAAGGATTTATGCCGAGGTAACTTGTTCCCCCTCTTTTATCGACAAATTTGTTGTACTATAATGTACAGCCGACAGCAATAATAATTGAGCGAAAATTTCCCTATAGAGGCAATTGAAGTGAACTTGTCTCACCAAATCAATAATCGGTTTCGGTTGGTCTTTCAGAACTGCCAAAAGCCTTTTGGAACCGCAACCATACAGCAAGGTTTGAGAGAAAATTTCTTTCCCATGCCTGCATCCAGTCACTAAGTGTCAATCCTCCTTGTACTGTTTTTTTACCCATCCTCTGGCTTATTGTGCTTTTTGGCACCTGCAAGGCAGGTTCTTGGCCTTTAAAGGGCGTGAATGATCCTTTCCTTGCGAGCTCATCCGCCCTTTCATTTTTCGCGTTTCCTGAATGCGCTGATAAACACATCAAGGTTACATCATTGTGTTGCGCCAGTGTGTACAGTTTTTGTTGGCATTCAAAGATCAGTTCAGATGTTACTCTAGGGCTTCTTAACGCTATGAGTGTCGCCTGTCAGTGTATATGGCGATCCTTTTATTATGTTCTCGCTCATTATTTACTCTTGCGCAACGCAGAGGTTACACCTGTTCCCATATATACCTGCACCTGTTGTCGTCACCCGTCTTTGTACACTGTGCTTGTTATTTTTTTCATTGATGTGTGTTCCAAAATTGCGCTCACGCTTCCAGCACTAACAATTTTCTGCTTAGTATTTAATATAATTTAATGCTCAATTTGTTTTTATAGATATTCGACGACGAAACGAGGTTAATCCGTGCGCAGACGGCGTCTCTCCTAAGACGGATTCATGACCCGGTACCGCGAGTGAAGTACACCTGGCCTTGCCCGTGCCCCGCTAAGTAAGTACATAAATCTCGCTCACACTCGTCGCTTTTATATTTCACGTTGCAAAGTGTATCGTATTTGAGTTTTTGTTTTAGTCCGAAAGAACGCCGATTTACTGAGGCAAAAAGCCACATTCTCCGCGCAAAGTGGAACTATCCCGATTAATATAAAAAATGTTTATGGGAGTATGCTAGTACGTATGTTCCGTTATCACGCCAAAACTGATGAACCGATTTTGATGAATTATAGCATATACGAGGTGTGTAAATTATCACTTTATATTGTCACCACCGAAACTACTTCTTTCTGAGTCAACACAGCGATGGAGATGGTTCTTCCACTCCTTAAAACAGGGCTGAAGCCCCGGAATACCCTTTAGCTGGTCGGTTACAGCCGTTTGAATGTTTTGGGCTGTCAAAAGCTCGTTTATGACATTGCTGTGGGACAAGTAGCATTATCGTGATGCAACACCTAGTTGTTCTTGATCTGATGAACGGTGGTGTGAGTCAGATTTAACTCATCTCCAATCATTCTCAATGTCAACCTACGATCTGAAGGCATAAGATCCCGGATTCTGCCGATACTTCAATCTATTCTTAAAGATGCAAGCCTTCCGCTTCGTGGTTCACCTTCAGTCACCTTCTGAAAATGCCTTAACCACCGTAGGCCTACTGAAGTTTAGCAAGACTTTCCGATGCACTGTGTTCAAGTCTGAAGCAAAGCCTGATAGCACAACGTAGCTCGAATGATGCAATTTATTTTTAGAACACAATAGGAAAAACTGTTTCACCAAAAAATCGCTATGGACAACCAAAAGACTCGTGCGAGTTCAAACTTGTACTGAAGGCGGATCACATGTTCTTCTGTCTCCATTCCAGGCCCGGCGCCTCCAGTGTTGTCAGATCGAACGCTACGTTGCCAGTATCGCTTGATTTACAGACCTCGTATATATGGATCAGACCTTGGAGACGGACATAGGCTACGTTTTATAGTGAAAATTAGACTTGAAGGGTTTGAACTATGGGGTAAATCTATTTATGGGGAATCTGTTATTTTCTAAGGCTGGGAATAGAGATATGAGTTTCATATAGTCGGTTCCTTCATACAGTGAAAATGGTTACTTACAAAGAAATTTTGAATATTCCACCTGTAAGGGGATAAAGTTTTTGTAAGGTAGGGCAGGAGGGGGCTGAATATTTCTATCACTTAATACTTTTCAAGTTTGTAGAAATTCAAGGTTATTTGAAGAACAAGTCGATGTTTTTAAATGGTACCCCCCATTTTTGACCCCGTAAATCAGGAGAGTGGACATTTTTACGTTCAAATATGGTGTTGAGCATTCTAAAATTTTGACTTCAGGTCATGGTCAAGGTCGTAATTTATTTTATTTATTTATTTATTCATTTATTTATACTCTACCCAACAGCTACAAAGCCAATTACAGAGTAGGATAAAGTCCAAATCTCAAAAATACACAATATCTTACATATCACACAAATGTAGGAAGTTCAACCACAAGGATACTATATACAAATATTTACAGAAATGGCAGTTTAGATAAAGAATTAAATAGCAAATAGCAGACAAGACATCATAAGGAACCACGCAGCAGACAAGGCATCAGAGAAATATATCTAATTGATCCGCAATGTCATTCGCTTTATCACATGAGCTATACAATGGAGAAAACTTTAAAATATTTGTTCTAGGGGTAGGCAAACAGAAGGTATTGCATTGTCTAGCATTCAAACGCGGGACAAGGAAATTAAAATCGTGCAATATATTGCAACAATCAATACGATTGTGCAATATATCAGTCACGAACTTAACACTGCACTTATCACGCCTCTCCCTAAGACTTTGATAATCGAAAGCTTCTTCTAAAGACTCTTGTGGATAGCCAATCGGTGGGTAGATGCCATTTTTCTTAAAGTAAAGGTACTTCAAAAAACGCCGTTGGATATTTTCGAGTTTGTCTATCCAGAAGCAGTACGAGGGATGCCAAATAATTGCCGCATATTCAAGCTTCGATCTTACAATTGAGTTATATAGAAGCTTAATTGTTTTAATATCCTGCAACTCGCAACCACAGCGTATGATGAAGCCCAGCTTTTTGTAACTCTCTGCAATAATTGAATCCATATGACCATTGAAGCAATATTTACTGTTGAAAATGACACCTAAATCTTTTATTTTATGCAATCGATTAAGGGGCACACCACCAGTAATCAGGTACTATAATATAACTTGAAAGCAAGTGGTCGTATAGAGAAACTAAACAGACATTATTTTCATGGTTTTTTCCCTGATATGCAATTATGACTTTTTAACGAGACACTATACTTTTAGGCCTCCAAAAATGGGAACATCTTATGTTAGAATATGTCCTTGGTCATTTTTAGAACCTGACCTGGACATCAAGATCAAACACAAGTTTTCCTTGATTTCGTGATAATTCAGAAAAATGTGTAATCCCCAGATAGATTGATTTTACTGTCCTTTCAGGATTGTTCCCTAGCTACAAAAATCGGCTTGACCTTCACATGAGCTTGAAGTTCATCATGATTGAGGCTAGATCCAAGGTCATCATTGTATATTTGGAGAAAAATCATGAAAATAACGACTCCATAGTTTACCGATACAACTACTGGTATTAAAGATATATCAGCGTACCTCGATTTGACCTTGACCATGGCCTCCCAAGGTCTAAATTTGAGATTGGTCAGAGCCATATTTGAACGTAAAATTTCCTGCTCGTTTCATTTACGGGGTAAAAAATGACGGGTTCCATTTAAAGAACCAATTTGCCCTTCAAATGACTTTAAAGGCAATGGTCTAGGTCAAATCCAAGGTCACCATTGAATAGCTGGGAAAAACTCCTAACAATTGCGGGATTTTCATTCGGCATTTCTTCATACCATTATTAGTTCAGGAATTATCATGGGGTTCCGGATCTTTTCAGTACATAATGCAGAAGTGATACACATTAATTACAAAATCTCGAGAGCTATTTGTCCTATGAAGATAAAATTTCGCAGGAGATTGTTATAGACAGGGCATGTCGGATTTCACAACAAGGCCGGACTAAGGGAGCCAGGGGCAAATATAAAAGGTAAAAGTTATATATTTAAACAAAATCTCGGAAACTATTTAACCTATGAACATAGCATTTGGTAGACAGGTAGTTCATATAGAAGGAATGTCAGCTAAAATTTTTAAAACAGGGCTAGATCATTAATCAAAACAGGAATTTTGGCAGGGAAGTAGTTTATGGGCAGGACATATAGCTAACGAAAAATGAATTTTGTGGCAAGGCCGGATTGAGTGATTAAAGGGCACTTGCAAGTTTGTTTGAAATTAATTGGAATCTTCTAGTATCTAAAAATTGGCAGCGATGAGTTTCTGTTTAGAGTAGACTTAAACCAAGAATGGATTGTGTAATTGGAAACTTGGCAGAGAGGTAGCTTTACTGTGCGAGATTTAGTTTAATTTAGAGGGCCAATTTCCAAAAATTGGTATAACGTTAATTTAGCAGCTTATCTCTGGCTCCATTGATAAAATAACCAAATTTCGCAAGCCTACAACTCAAATGTTAATTTACTAATGCAATACAATTATAGCAATACTCAAACACAATGTGATATTTTAGTTGCAATTTAATGCGTACGAAGTCGCAGGTATCAGCTAGTGACTTAATAAAATACCTGGCATAAGTGAATCGGTCAGATCAAAAACCAGTTATAAATTTTCCAAAATGCATGGTTTACTAGAAATGCATCGTTATAGGTAGATGGCATAAATCATGGAAGTCAATACATTCCTATCTCTTCAAATAATACCGTAGAATATAACAAAACATAGTTAAGTGACTTATGCTGTTTAAGCATGCAATATTCGACGGCGGGTCATTTCAGAAACAGTATCAGGATCCTTTTCTTTACATATTCAGGTGCTATGTGCACCAAAACACCAATAGTCGTGAGCCATTGGTTTTTTATTCAGGGTTTTTCTCATGATCTGTTGTTGGGTCTCAAACGCGCGGATGTTCTGCTTTGCCATCTAATGGCTGTTGCGTCTTATACCATTTTCTCACCAGACAAACAACATGGTTCCTTTTAGATGTTGATGTAGTATTTCTCGCGCAAAACAATGCACCTTAAGTTGAGGATTGCATAACATTTGACCGATGTGTTGCGACATGGGGTTTTCGCGCTTTTGGTGTTTTCTGGACGATGGACGAGGGTGTCGTATTATGGTACATTTAAAAGACGACAGATAGCCTCATACTCACTTGTCGTTTTGGAGGGCTGGACGTCCTTGTTTGGGAACGGGATGCCTACCCTTGGCGGTCCTGGGCTATGCTGGTTTTGCGTGGTGCTATCTTAAAATTCGGAATGATGACTTCGCGCAATCTCAGCATGTTACGGGACGTTCAGACTATTGTAGTCGGACACTATAGGAATGTGAGAATGAAAAGAAGAAACAAACGAACTGTCACCTGGAAGGCAGGTAAATAAGATATATTGTCATTGTACTGAAGAAGATCGCCTTTGTGATTGAAACGCTTACTACAATAAAAGAGACCTGTCAAAATATGTAAACCTCAGAATAAGTTTCAGGAGTTACATCAATAAGTCTACTGCATTCACTCTGTCCACAGGCTGAATCCGCAAAGGTGTTACGCCTGAACGCCTGTCCATCCTCGTAGGAATGCGTTGCACTAGTTAGTGCAGCTCAACTCGTCTTCTGCTGCTCAAGCACTTAATTGCTACTGATTACTTTTGACAACTGTCAGTGTCTGTTCATGGCATACCAAGTTTATAGTAGTCTTCAGTCATAATGCACGCTTGTTGTAATTTCTTAGAATAAATGAGCATTTCTTATAGTATTTAGCTTAGGAGTAAGATGGATATATAAGTCCCATTTTTTACCAATATTTTTATTTTTAATATAAAATGGTAAGCGATGACGTCGTGCAAATGTTTAGCAATCCCTATGTCACTCGTGGACTAGC